TTTTTATATAGAAGTTTATGAAAATTTTACTTAGAATTTCTAAGAAATTTAGTAAAAATATTTTTATATAGAAGTTTATAAAAATTTTACTTAGAATTTCTAAGAAATTTACTTGCATTTCTTTTAGAAAAATAAAGAAATTTTGTTAAAATTATTTTATGTATAAGTTTATGAAAATTTTGCTTAGAATGTTTCTTTTAAAAAATGTGGAAAAAAAAATTTTGTAAAAATGTTCTCACACAGAAATTTGTAAAAATGTTTTTAAACAGAATTTTGTAAAAATGTTTTTATACCGAAGTTTGTGGAAATGTTTTTTATACCGAAGTTTGTGAAAATGTTTTCTAAGAAGTTTATGAAAATTTGACTAGAAAAATAATTTTTCTTCTAAATCGTTGATCATAAATGTTGTAAACTTTACCAAAGTTAAAAATCGTTAATATAACTGAAGAATTCAGAAATGATTTATCACTTGTTTTTAGAGTTTGTGACGTTCTGATTTTTATGTTGATTTACTGATTTTCATGCGGTAAAGAGAAGAAAAATAATACTTAGATTATTTTTTCGAAGGTGACGAAATTTTTTTTTGGTTTATCTCATTTTCACAAGGTTTGCAAATTAATTTTCTCTTCATTTTCCTCTTTGTCTTAATGATTTTATTATGATGCATTATTAATTTGCGACCGCCAGAATTAAATGTTATTCCAAATTTTCGCTTTAATTTTTTTTCCAAAAGTTTTTCTTTTTTTTTCTAGTTTCTTTTTTTAATTTTCGTTTCTTTTTAAATTTTCGGTATTCTTTTTCTAATTTTCCCTCTTTTTCAATTTTAATTTCTTTTTCAATTTTTGTTTCTTTTTCAATCTTTGGAATTTTTTTTCAGTCTTTAGTATTCTTTTTTAAGTTTCACTTCTTTTTTAATTTAAATTTCTTTGTCAATTTTTGTTTCTTGTTCAATTTTTGGTAATCTTTTTTAATTTTTATTTCAATTTTTTTTTATATTTCATTTTTACATTCTCATAAAAAATGAGAAAGGTCCAGGGATTTTTTTTTATTTTTATTATTTGTTCAAGAAAGTAAAAGTTCCTAGGGGTTAATTTAAAAATAACTCTTCAATAGTTTAACAAATTTATTTCTTTGCACTTCCTTCAATTTTGCACTATTTGAACTCGTTTTTTTTCGATATTTCTAAAATATGAAATTTCCTCTTTATGATTATTTAAAGAAGAAAAAAATGGGGAGCCCTGTGACGAAATATTTATTTTCGGATTAGCTTCTCAAGATGTGAGGTTTATCAGTAAATCGATTATTACTTCCGTAAATGTCGCTTCCGACCTTGTTGAAAATAACTACGTATGTTAGTGCAATATTTTGCATATTCTGTTTTCCTCTTATCAGTGACTTGACTATATTCTAAATATAATTCATACTTTATTATAAAAAATAATAATAACATTTAAAAATAAATTCAAACTTTTAAAAAACAATAATTTAATATTAGTAAGTAATATTAAACAAACTTGATTTTAATTATTATATAATTATATATTATTTACAATGTATTAACAACATTCAATAGAAATCTGTTCTTTAGTATTAATTAATTTTAAATTATTGTAATAATTGTAATATATTAATTATATTAAATTAATTTAAAATATTAAATGTTATGTTTATTAAATTAATAATTCTAAATATTGCATTTAATATTACAGGGTTGCCACAGATCAGGGAATTCAGGGAAAAGTCAGAGAAAGTAGAATTGGCCAGGGAAATCAGGGAAAAGTCAGGGAAAAATAAAATTAAATACTTGTGGCAACCCTATATTAATTAATTATATTAAATTAATTATAAATATTATATTAAATTAAATAAAACATTAAATATTTCAAATATTAAACTATTTAATAAATTAACAATATGGAAATTTAAATTTTTCTTTTTAATTAAAAATACAGAATGCTACAGTTAATATTAATAAAAAAAAAAAGAGAGAGAGATTAAGAGAGATTAAATAATACAAAGTATGCAACAGGTGGCATCTTGACAATTGTAAACTGTCTTAAGTATAATAATGAATTACATTGATCATAAATCTTTAAACAAGAAAAGAACACATAATTCAATGATATGTGGTGTAGATAAAGCGCAATTTGTCCTCAGCGTCGATCTGCGTAATTTAACATCCAACAAGATCGATTAAGTGTCAGTCGTAATTGAAGTAATTGTAGTGTCTGTGGGAAATTCATCTCGGATTTTCTTACACACGTGATTCGCGTAATATTATGCGGGGAAAGGCTATTTTTCAATTATTCAAGGTTTCCCGATTTTTGTTTCTTTCATAGATTTATAAGCTTGTCATTGAAATGCTCGATTAAACACTTTGTTATAAATAAACAAATCATTTTAATAAATACAATAAATATATATATGTATTGTAAAATAGTCGTCACTGTCGTAAATCTTATACACATGATGATTAATTCGAATACTAAAACATTTAATTGCTCATTTCCTCAGTTTATAAAAAAGTCAAATTTACATACAGACCATATGTCTACTTTTAATTTGCAAAATTTAAAAATCAGGTTTTATGGATTTTTTTTTTTTGATTTATTGGCTTTTTTTGGAATTGGAATTTTGTATTGTGAAAAACAGGCATTGGATTGTATGATTTTCTTTTACTATTTTCTATTGTTTCCGGTAGAAATTTATTTTTTAATATTAATATATTATTATTTTTTTTCTTTTTTTGAAATTTTGCTCCAATACCGTCTAGATAACATGAAAATTCTCTCTTTTAAACGAAATGAAGCAAATAGAAGTACATGAATTATGATTCTTATCGTGGAAATTTGTTCTGAAATTTGTAAATTAAACTTTCTTGAAAATTTTATTTTTCCCTGATTTCCAGACAAAATTTTCAATTTTTCCCTGACCCTAAAGAAAATCTAAAAATTATTAGATACTCAAAAAAAATGTTCTATTACATTTATTTACAAATTTCTTTAATTGTAAAATTTTTCAAAAACATCTATAACTTCTTTTTTAAATAAATATTTAATCATTATTATTTTTCTGTATGAAAATTTAAACTTAAATTACCACAAAATTTTTCAAAAAAAAAAGTTAATTATTTATAACAATCCTAATAAAATCCTTCGCAAGAATTCAATTATTTTTACAAGTAGTAAAATTTCTCAAAAGAATTCAATTATTTAAAAAAAATGTAATAAAATTCGTTGCAATAATTCAATTATTTTCATAAATAGTAAATCGATTATTCGGTAATTCATTATCAAATCAATTTTTATTCAAAAATTCTAGAAGAATTCAATTATTTAAATGAAAAAATAAATAATTTATTGAATAATTAAATATTTGTTAAAATTGAATTCTCATAACAAATTTTTAAATAATTGAATTCTTTTGACAAATTTTAATAAAATTTTTAAGAATAATTACATTTTCCGAGGAATTTGATTAAAATATTGTATAAAAAATAATTAAAATCCTGCTATGAGTTTCATTATTTATGAAAATAATTAAAATTTTACCAAGAATTTTATTAAAATTTTTTTAAAATAATTGAATTTCGGAAAAGAATTTTATTACTTTTTATAAAGATACTTGAAATTTTTACTAGAATTTTTTTTTATTTTCGAAAATAATTGAATTTTGTTGAAGAATTTTATTAATCGTAAAAATAATTGAATTCTTGAAAAGAACTTTGTTAAATTTTTTTAAATAATTGAATTCTTGCGAGGAATTTCATAAAAACCTTTTTAAATAATTGATATTTTTCAAAAAATTTTGTACTTTAAATAATTGAATTCCTGTGAAAATTTTATTACTTATGAAAATAATTGAATTATTTCAAAGAAATTAAATTTAGTAATAGTTGAATTGCTGTAAAATTTTGCTAAGAATTTTTATTTTATTTTTGAACATAATTGAATTTAGATGAAGAGTTTTATTATTCATAATAAAAATAATTAAATTCTTGAAAAGAACTTTGTTAAATTTTTTTAAATAATTGAATTTTTGCGAGGAATTTTATAAAAATCTTTTTAAATAATTGATATTTTTCGAAAAATTTTGTACTTTAAAAAATTGAATTCCTGTGAAAGTTTTATTACTTATGAAAATAATTTTTTTTTTTTAATTTTTGAACATAATTGAAATTCTGCGAAGAATTTTTATAACCTTTGAAAATAATTGAATTGAATTATTTTTTTCAATAATTACTAATTTTTTTTACTGCAGTTTTAGTTTAAAAAAATAACTACAAAAATTAGTAAAAATTTTCACTAAAGTGAAAGTGTCTCAATTTTCACTAAAGTTTAAATTTGGAAACAAAAAACGAATTTTTTTGTTCTTTAAAATTAAATCCATTTTTTTGTACATTAAAATCGAGGAGGAGAAATAAACCGCCTAGAATAATAAAAAAAAGTCCTTTCGACTGAAAATAAAAATGAAAGAGTGTGTTGGATAGATGAAGTGTATTTTGAATAAATTAATTAATTAATCAACACTCACCTCGTAGAATCAGTTCGACCAACACCTCCAATACTACTACTTTGAGTGCTAACCCTGACGAGAGTGACGTTTTTTGGAAAGTTTGGTAATCCCGTGACAGTATTAGTGATCCTTTGTCCCAATAAAGGTGATTCTGCCCTTGGTGGATATTGTGAATGGTTTTCGATTTCAACTTCCCTTTCCTCTTCCTCTTCAATTGTCCCCGGTAGACGAAAGAGCTTTTGTGGCTCCTCCATTCCACGCGCACTCTCTTATCACCAAATCACCTTTTGATTGGATTTTTTTCTTAATTGCATTTTGACCTTTAATTCAAGATTACTCCACTTTTTCAATATTATACGATGAATTAATTCATATCAGGCTTATCATCTTATATTTTCACACGATTCATAATTATTAATCGAATCAATCACAATATCATTGATTTGGCATTTCGATTAAAACAATTATAATTTTGCGATTATTAATAAATTGTTTTATGATGTTTGTATATTATTATGTCATTGTTGTTATAAACTCACTGTTGTCTTCTTTGTTGATATTGTAGAAAAGATTTTTTCAGGTACCATATTTTTAAAAATTGTCTTACGTACTCTGACTCGTTTTCTGGAAATTGAAAACAAAATATTTCTGTAAATATTTTGAGTCTGGAAAGTAGAAAATAAACAATATATAATAAAAAAATAAACGAAAAATATTTTTAATTTGTTTGCTAAAATGGAAACTTTTATTTTTTGAAATTCTTGCAAATGTTTTGATTGACATTATCAACCAAAAGAGGAGGAATAATTATTTAAATTAATTAATTTCTTTTCTTCAATGAAGGAAAGAGCGAAAAAAATAAACTTTGTTCTAATAATTATGAAATTAATTAAAATACAAAATTAATGACAAATACTGATTGAAATTTGATTAGGAATTTGTCATTAATTTGTTAATTATATTTCTTGGTTTTTTTCCTAATATAATTATATCAAAAATGAGAAAATCTTGCAAATGTTTTGATTGTCATTATCAACCGAAAGAGGAGAAATAATTATTTAAATTAATAAATTACTTTCTTCAATGAAGGAAAGAGCGATGCAAAATAAACTTCACCCTATTAATTATGAAATTAATTAAAATACAAAATTAATGACAAAAAATACTGATTGTTTGATTGGGAATTTGTCATTATTTGTTAATTATATTTCTTGGTTTTTTTCCTAATATAATTAGAACAATTGGGGTAAATTTTTTTACAAAACTATAAATTATAAAATAATTCTAATCTTGGATATAATATTAATTTCAAATATTTTAATAACTAAAATTTATTTATAAAAAATTAATTTTTTAAAATTATTTTTTCCTCTTTTATTTATAATAATTATTTATAATTTATAAATATTTATACACTGAACACATAATTTATTTGATTCGAATAATTTTTATTTCAATCAATTAAATTGTATTTATTACAAATACTGAAATTATTGGTTCAAATACAATTTAATTGACTTAAATAAAATTTGATTCAAGTAAATATTTGATAACAGACAACTAATCGGTTATTTGAATTAAAAAAATTTTTTTTTAGAGTAATAATGATTATTTATAATATGTAAATATTTATAATAATAATTTTTATCACCTATTGTATAATATTTTATTGGTTATTCTTTACAAACCGCAAAAAACTATTCTCTTTAGTATATATATATATATATCATAGTGTGCGGTGTATAATTTTCAAATTAAATTAGAATATACATAATTTGGTGGTAAAAATTTTTCATAAATTATTATCCAAGATTTAGACTTGTCATAATATTATGCTATTAGTGCAATAATTAATTTATAATTTGCATAATATCAAACGAGAAGGTGAGAATTAATGAGATTTAATCCTTCAAAAGTGAGGTAGTCGTGTGATAATTAATAGTTGATAATTGCTACTCTTCAATATAATGTTTATAAATTATTGGAGAAAAAAATCTTTTTTTTTTGTTGCTGTAAGAGAGAGAGAGAGAGAATTCTCGCAAGGTGCAAATTATTAAAATCAGGAAACTATAAATTAGAAGAATAGTGAGAAATGGGTAAACTTTTTTTGTTAGTTTACTTTGGATTTTATTGTTTTCTGATTTATTAATTTTTATTTCTTTACTTCAAAATTTTTTAATTTTTATTTCTTTATTTCAAATTTCTTAATTTTTATTTCTTTATATTTTAAAATTCTTAATTTTTATTTCTTCAGTTCTGATTTATTAATTGTTTATTTATTCAAAAAGGACAAGTTACAATTTATTTTTAACTTCTAATTGATACGGTAAAGAAGAGCAAACAAATTAATCATATTTTTCTTCACTTTTAATATAATGAAATTGTCGATAAATTTGTATTTTTGATTAGTGAGCCATTACTATACTGGGCATTGTAAATAGGATAACCTTTGAGATATTCGAGTTTAGTGTGCAATGTTTTTTTCTTTGAAAAATCTATTTATTCCTAATTGTTGTTTTTGTTTTTTTCTTTCTTAAACTCTTAAAATTTTTTCCTCTTTTCACGATCGCATGTTGGCAGTAGAGTCGTTCGTCTTTTCGTTTTAAGTCGCGATTTTTTATTTGAATTTTGATTTTTTTTTTTTTGCGACAAACGCTCGGATGCGTGTCGCTCTCGCAACTGTTTCAAATTCGTACGGAAGGTACGAGAGTGTACCAATGGATGCTATGGCATTTATCTTTTATGGCGGGGGAAGCTTATAATATACAGTTCACGAATGTTCACCTGATCCAACATTAAACTCAGATTTCAAAACGACCCTGGATTTTATTATTCATTTACCAGTGAAAAAAAATGGGGAAAAAAATGAAAGAAACTTGTGTTTTATTTTCGAAAGGGGATCGAAATCAATTTTGCTTATTTGAATATTTTTTTCCGGTTAATGTTTAATTTAATTTATTGTAAAACCGGAGTTTAACTGAAATTTGGTTTATCATGTATTTCTAGATTCAAAAATCTATAAATAAAAATAATAATATTAATCATGAATAATAGTGATAACCCAATCTAATTAGTAACTATTAGAGAGAAAAATTTACGCAATTCTTTCTTTATTGATATTTTTTATTAAAAAAATGAATAGTTTAGAATTAGTTTAGAATAAATGAATAGTTTTTGTCCAAAAATTTTTTACTAGAATTCAGTACCTAGAAATTTTCTAGATTTTTTCTGGAGAAATTCTATTAGACTGTTCAGTAGAATTTTTGTAGATTGATTCTACAGAACCATTCTTGTAAAATTCTGTAGAACTTTCCCCACTGGGAATAATGATGATAATAATATAATGAGACTAATGATAAGAAAGGGAAAAAATGAAAATTGATAAATTGTTAAAATTAACAAGAATATTGCTGCAAGTCAAGAGCATTCTCTGAATTGAAAAACGAATTGAGTAAAACATCCTGAAAGTATGTGAATCCTGACTCACATATGAATTACCTAGTAATTTTCTGTACGTTCACATTTTTCTCGAAAAATATTTACTGGTTTTGCATCGCGTGTCGTGAGCCTTTCAAGCATCTTGTAACACGCACAAGGATTTTATTAATCCAAATGCTGCATCATTTTTCATCGTATTTAGCATAAATTTCTAAAAGAAATTTTTATCTTAATTTTTCGTTTTTAATCAAAAAATTACTCATTTCTTACGAATAAACGTTCAGTTTTAAACGTTCAAAGTAAAACGTTATATCTAAATATAAATTGGAAGTATATTTAGAATTGTTTTAAAAATCGAAACTTCTGGAGGTTTTTATTTGTCTTTATTTTTTATTTGTTTATACTTATTTTTATTTGTTTGTTTTTTCATTTTTTATTTGTTTTTAATTTGATTTTTAATTTGTTTTAATTTGTTTTAATTTGTTTTTTATTTATTTTTTTATTTTTTATCTGTTTTCGTTTATCATTTACAATTTGTTTATAAACACCAAATAAATTATTTACTATACCAAAAAAAAAAAATAATGTCTTTATATTCTCATCACACAAGTGAGAAAGTATTATTTAATACGACTTTTAGTAGTTTCAAGAGAACTTTGAAACTATGAAACTTAAACAACAGTTTAAGGCACGTTTAAGAGAATTTTATAGTGAGAAGATTGTCCTTCATGTTCATGAAATATAATTCTACCGGAAGTAATGTTATAAGTACGTCTGAGGTATAATTTAGTTTTCTGAAATTATTTTCTTCAGTTTTCCTCTTTTCTTGTTCAATTTTTTCCATTGTCATTTATTTCTTAATTTTTTTGGTTCACTTCTTTTCTTTATTAAATTTGTGATTAGAATTTTTTAAATTAAAAAATATTTACTGAGAATTTTTAATTTGAAAGAAACTGCAATTATTTATTTTTAAAAATTATTTATTCTAATTGACTTTTGTTTTAATAAAAAAATTTTAATTAATGTTTAACTTATTAAATTATTAATTTTTATTAACTCTTGATTTATTAAATTATTCGTTCTAGTTATCTTTGATTTATTAAATTATTCGTTGTAATTAATTTTTAATTTTTTAAATTATTCGTTTTAATTAATTTTTAATTTATTTTAATAGTCAACTTACAGTAAAAATAAATAAAACTTACAGTTTAAAAATAAATAAAAATTAATAATTTGTTTAGTTTTATTTATTTTTAAACTGTAAGTTGATTATTAAATCAAGGTGGATATTTAATACAAATGAATCTTTATAATTTTTAAACCTTAAGACGATTTTAGGCTTCTTGTTTCTCAAAAGGAAAATAATAAGATTAGGAATTTTTTAAATTAAGATTTATGCCCGCAGATACTTGAGATTTAAAATTCCTACACGTGTCTTTAAAAAAATGTCCATTTCGTTCGCTGAATTTAATTCTAAATTCTAATTAATTTTTTTAATTAATTCTTTAATTAATTTTCGCTTTACCTATTTTTTACGCCTTTCTCTCTTCCCTCCCTTCTTTACTCTATGACTCTTCACCCTTTTTCTCTTATTCCTCGACTCAAACAATAACAATAACAATAACAATAACAATAACAATCACCCAACACTTGTAGAATATCAAAGAAAATTTCACTAAAAAAGAATTTTAATTCTTTTTCAAATCACTTCTAATTTAAAATCACGATCAGTTCCTTGAAGTTCAAGACCACGTGGCTCGTAAATTGAAGAGCGGGAAATTCGAATTTTAAAATTTAACGCCGGAAACAAATTACGCCTCATTGTCGAAATTTGTTCGCGTTTCTTCAATTCCTGTATTGTAAACTTGATGTCCATTAAACGGTACATTTTGTGACATTGTCTTCAAAACTGTTTTTGATTTTTTTGTTAGAGAGAAAAATTAAGTGTCACTTTTTTTTGTTGTAAAGAGAAATGTTTATAGAAAAACTATTTTTTTTTTGCACACACAGTGAGAAAATGAGGATTAATAAGATTTAAGTGCGAGAAGCAGTTTAACCGGCGACTGCATTTGCGATCACATCAAGTTGTTCAAGTGACGTCAATGTACACTCAACAGTCGCCTTTATCCCACTTCTTCTCTTTCTTGAATATTTTACTCCCTCTTCTTCACACTCTCTTTTTTCCT